GGTGCGCAGCGAGGCGCGGGCGGACGACGACGTTGTCCTAGATTTGTTTAAATTATTTGCGATAGTGTGATTGGCTTTTGTCGGGCACGACGCCGCCGCCACCGCCACACGACCCCCTTCCCCACCAGTCGGGTCGTCGTGTGTGTGTGTGTTTTAGCTGCTTTGGCCAACAGCCAATCGGAGCATTGCAGATGTTTAGTCGCAATAGAGTTGTGTCCTGACCTAAATGCGTGTCGGTGTCGTCGGTTCCGAATAGTGCAAACGAGTCTACGGGTTTGTGGTTGGTGCCTGTCACAAACTCATACACACACACACACACACACACACAACACACACGCACATGTGTGTGTGGGTGTATTTAGTTTTTGTGATAGGCTACCGACTGAGGGCTGAATTTGCATATGCTCGCACAAAGGGGGGGATAGGCGTGGGGGGTTGGGGCGCTTAGAAAGTTCTCAACTCGCATTGGGCAAAGCAAACACTGCGCTTTGCATCCTGACAGCCAATGATCGAGCCTATTGAAAACTATGCGGTTCAAGCGAATGTAAACCCTTTCAACCATTAGCTGCCCAACTTGGGATTAGTTTCCGTTTACTCATCTATGGCATATATTATGTGCAGTAATTGCTGACTATGCATTTAGCTTAGTCTTACTAGAAGTCAATCGAGTATGTTTGTCTGTCTGTCTGTCCGCCTGTTGATCGACTATTCATATATCTGTATGTCTGTTGATATACACCAATGCAATGCTTCTTTTAACTGGTTGTTACATATTTTTACAAATGATTAATTAACATGTAATAATTCGAATCTACAATACAATATCATCGTGTGTCTGGTTGTTCTTCTCGCAGAGCGTTCACTGTAATTTACTATATATGGCATATACATTGCCTTACAACTTTGACGAACCTATCAATTTATATTCTTAGTCAAAAATGCCAATAATTGTGTAGATCGAAATTACTACAATCCACCACTAAAAATTTGGGCTTTGAGGGATTACTCAATGTTTTACAAGAGGTAACAACAATAATGTAATAATACAATATCTTTGGCTATCTAGTTTTCAAAACTTTACTGACTGAGTCACTTTTCGATTCACACAAGACAAATATGGGAAAAGCTCTAACGATGCACACACTCAACTCCTGAGATGATAAAGACCATCCAATCAGACTGAGCATCGTCCACAGCATAATGTGTCCACAGTCAGTTAAGGAGCAATTCTCACAAAACAAACTATCAGAACATGTTGCAATCGAAAAAGTAAAAGCGGCTTCCTTGGCAAGCATAGTTTTGAAACTGAACTCACATCGGGAGCTTCAATCCAAACTATAATTCTTACAGTGCAAGGGACTAAACCTTTGTTAAATCTCAGTTAAACCTTAGTAAATAATATCGCTGTTTGAGAAAACTTAGACTCGATCATAGCTAGGCAGAAATAAGAGTTTCTCAGAGAATATTTTGCAGCGAAAGAGAATAATTTGTATCATCAGCCGCAAGAGTTCTGAGTAGATGGATTCGTTAGATAAACCACAAAACCAAAAGCAGTTAAATGCACGCGTAATATAGTCAAGTAACTCGAGCTGCCCCTGGGTAGACTCTTCCCTCTCCCATCACCCCCTCGGCCAACTCTCAAGGAGACGGGACTCTTCTGACATGAGTCTGTCTGGGCCACGATACAATGCCAAAGAAATGCAAAGAAAAATGAGTAATGAAGTTGAGCTCACGAAAAGTTTGAGACATTTTTGGGCGCAAAAATGTGGCTACCACAGAAAAGGGCTTTCAAATTAATTGTAAAATAATCATGAGTAGGAACGCAACCAGTCAACACACGCATGGGGAAAGGGGTATGCTCTTCAAAATTTTCTTTGGTTTGTGGGGAGGTGTGTGCGTGTACGGGGGGAGTCGGAGTCGGGGGGGCGAATAGCATTTGCGCTTTTAATTTTTCACAAAAACAATTTTTCTAGACAAAAGGAGCAAAACGCGAATCTCCCAAAGGAGCTTGAGGCTTGTCGGTGTCTCCATGTGCGTGTGTGTTTTGGTGTGTGTGTTTTGGAGTGTGTGCGTGTGTGTGTGGATGCGTGCCTGAGAAGGTTCAGGGTTAAATTAGCTGGCTGTGAGTTGGAAATGGCAGCATATTTACGATGCGATTAATGTTTCCAAGGAGACGGTGCCGTTGTTGCGGCTGTTTTTGTTCATGGATGCTGGGCGCGATCCTTTTTGACATCCGAAACTGAACTCGGTTCCACTCTCGTCCCCCAACATCTTCTCCATCTGCCGCCGCCGCTGCCGCCGCCGCCGTCATCATCATCGTCGTCGTAACTCTGCGTACATGTAATGAAATATGCTTAAGAAGTACACCCCATCCCCATCCCCATCCCCAATTCCCATACCCAATTCTCATCCTTCATTCTGAGCCACTGGCAACAGCATCAACGCCTGAAGTTCTTTTCATTCTCTATCTGTTCAACTTTTTTGTTTCGGTCTGCAATCAAATGCAAGCCGCACTTTGAATACCCTTCGAATAGAAGGCAATCAGTTATCTCTGTTGTGTTGGTCTTACTTGCAACCGGTCAAAAGGAGTTCACAACTCCAAGAAGTCCAGCTTAGAGCTGATTCACAGTCGTCACTGGTGTCCTTAACTCTGAGTCTGATTCTGATTCTGATTCTGATTGTGAGTCTGAAGTCTGAGTCCTGTCTTCCAAACGAACTGCTGATAGAAATGACTGAGCAGCTGCCTTCGGTATTTTTGGGTAGAGCAAAACAAGCATGTGAAAAGTTTTTTATAAATTCTTTTTGTGTGTGCTCACCCACACACATATGTGTGGTATACATATATATATATTTATGTGTGTGTGTGTAGGTACTGCTACTAATTTTGCATAATGTGCACAGCAACATTTGCGGTTTTAATTCTTTAGCGGTGTCCTTGGCCCCGAGCCCAGCACATGCCACGACGACAGTGAGTCCTTTGACGGGGGCAGCCAAGCACTTCGAGCAGTTCGAGCAGAAAAAGAATAAGAAAACTTTTGCCTTGGCTCGCGTGACTGAGTGTGTCTGTGTGTGTGTGTGTGTGTATGTGTGTGTGTGTGTTAATATATACATACATCGGTATGTTGTAGAAGCTAGCAAGCAATTGTCAACATTGCCAAAAGTCAGTTGAGTGAATTTACTGAAATGTACTGAACTGAGTTACTCATACGACACAGTGTTCCTGCATACTGGTCAGCTTTAAGATCTCAATTGACGGGGTCGAAAGGTCGAGGGTCGAGCTGAAGTTGAAGTTGAAGGCCACAGCAGGTGTCCTTGGGCAACTAAATTAAATTGAGCAAGGAAATTGAAAACAATGCGGCGCATTCAAGACGAAATATCACAAGGAATGGAAGGCAATTGTAAACCAACTTATCCCCTTCTTGAGAGCAGATGAGGGGCTCCCGTTGTCAAGACAGTTTAATGTGCATGTGTGTGTGTCCTGGCTTGTGTGTGGCGATGTGTGTGTGTGTGTGTGTGTGGCGATGTGTGTGTGTGTGTTTCCGCGAGGCAAATTAAAAATTTTGTTTCTCGACTTTTTCAACATATTCTCTTTTTGCTTATGTTGGCGTTCTTTGCAACTTTTTGCACGCGTTTCTCTACAACCCCTGCCCCACTCTCCCCACTACACACTTCATCCGGTTCCCCTTTTCCACACCCCTAGTTGCCTGCATGGTTGTGTGCTTTGTGCTTATTTTTTTCGGCTTTCACTGCGGCGGCAGTTGCTGATGATGATGTTGTTGTTGCTGTTGTTGTTTGTCCGCGCAATGGAAAACTTTCTAATAATGTTGTACACAATTTAAATAGAATTTGCTGTGTTGGTGTGCCACCCACGCCCACGACTACGCCCACACCCACAAGCCGAGCCTCAGCGCCTATAGCCCCGCCTCTTTTCACAAACACACACACACACACATACACACAAGGAGTAAGAAAGTAAAGTAGAGAGAAGACGCAACAGCCCGAAAGCTGAACAACAACAAAACTGCAAGAAAAAAGTGAAATAAAATATGTATAATAATATGCGAAATAAGGCAACGGCAATCGCCCATCCTTATGGTGGTGCTGTCGAGCAAGCGAACCACCGCCGAGCCACGCTAACTAAACCGCCCATCAGCTTGCCAACTTGCCAAGTTACCACCTCCCTCTTCCTTACCCCTACCCTTACTCTTACCCCTACAGTTCCTTCCCCTCCCCACCACTCTGCCTGTCTCTCAAGCCCAATTCGGTAGTGCGTGCGGCTGGCTGTGCCAAGTTGCTAACAAGCTTAGTTCCTCCTTTGCAACTTGCTCATTTTTGCTCACACACACACAAACACACACACACTAGCACTCACACCACACTGAGGTGCAGACAATTTTTTAATTAATTTAGTTGCTCAAATTCGTCGTAATAAAAAAGAGGTTACTTCTTGACGAATTCAGCTCACTTTAATCTATATTAAGACACTCTGAACTCCGAACACACTCAAACACTCACACTTTATTCATATTGCGAAATAGGTAATATTTGCAAATATATGGCTAATGACAGTGAGACACTTGCAGACTGCCTGCCCTAGACTCAATCAGAAATGAGCAAATATTATTGACAACTATCTTGTCTTTGGGCTTTCTGCAGTTAGCTTAAATGTGACTAATTAGATATTAATTATTTCATAGGAAATGGGAATCTAAATCTAAAATTGGAAAGCCAATTGGAACAGTCTGCTGGTATAATTCTCATACTCTCATTAACACTTAGTTTCGCATGAATGAAAGTTAGCATTTCATATCGAAACTGAAAATAGAACAAAAATCAGCCGTAATTTGCCAATTGTTTTCAAATTTATAAACTGATTTAATTTAGTTTAGTTTTAGTACAGTCTATCTCATAGTCTGGCACTCCCAACTTGAGCATTATTTTTCAATATCTTTCGCGTTCCTAACTTATCTAATGTTTTCATTTTGCTTATTTCTTTACAGGTACTCGACGCTGTCACAGGACACATCCAAAATGTTGGCCCGACGCTTTGACGCTTTTAATTAACTTATTCGCTTTAATTACTGTTGAACTGCATAGTTTTGTAAAGAGTATGTTTATATAATTTGTTATCAAATCAACAATATCCTTGAACAAATCGTTTTCCAAATAAGTTTTTACTCGCTAAGCTTTGCTTGTAAGTCTATTATAGTTGTAGCTTGCAGAGCATTTACGATTTCCCTCTCTCCTTTGAAAAAAATTAAACAGAAACCTATGCCAAACTATAGTTTTGTTAAGATGAAAACCTAAAGATAACAAAATATATCATTTGTAAAAATATCCAGCTACCTTTTGTATTAGTTATCGATATCTTCAAAGAATACAGCTAGTAGCTAACTAATATCGAATAGTGCCTTCAGCACTGTTATGTAATTCTTTAGCTTCCATGTAGCAATGTGTATTCGTCACTATGCAGATCGGCTGTAAATATATTTAAGCTGTATATCACGCCAAAGCATATAGTCAAATATAACATAATATTGTTGACTCAGGTACATACAATCATACATGTACGTATATCAAAGTAAATGACAAATATAAGAACGCAAAAATATCATTACAAATAAAAAAAACATTTCGTGAATCAAAAACTGTTTTCTTTTGTTAGGTGGGAAATTTGATCAATTCGCTTCGTTTCCTTGCAGATTGTTGTATGGGATAGCAAGGACACGAACCAGTAGGTTGCCAAGTTGCCTTGTGACATAAAATGCGGCATACTTTTAGGGGCACACTTGTGAAGATAATGGTTCTAGCTTGGCCATATCCTTACAGAATCGCAAGGACCGCCTCTATTGAACTACATTCCAGGATTATGGAGTCGTCTAGGTCCCCAAAGACTTGCAAATTTTCACACGAAGAGCGAATTAAACCGGGTCGAAATCCCTATATCATATTTTTCTCGGAAACAACAAGGACGATGTGCATGTCCTTTGACAGATTGGTAGCCGCGATTAAAACAAACAATTTGATACAGGACTCGCCAGGATCCGTAAGGATGTTGCCGAGTTGTGAGCAGTTTTCTGTTTTAAAAAATGTGTCGTTTTTTCAGCAGTTTCAAGGACTTTTGTCCTTTTTATTACTTTGCTCAAACTCGATTCTTAAGGACTATCGGTGGTCCAAAGGACAACCGGATAGTCGCTGAAATGGCCGAGTTACGCCGTATTTTTCAATTTTTTTTTATTTTTTCAGGGTACCTCCTTGTGTAACTTTTTGCCAAAATAATTTAAGGAATCTTGTAAATCTTTGAATGCAAGTCGATAATTATTTTTAATGTCTGTTCGAAAATATGTGATCATTGCGTTAAAACGAAAAAAAGGAAATTCGGCTAGTCCGTGAAGTGGTTTTATTTAGTCCAGCAGAGTAAAACAAGTCAGGAAGCATACTAGATGCATTGAATATAACCCACATAATAATATTAAAAAAATATGTGTATAAAATTCGAATAACCAAGCTCGAAATTTAAACTTAACTTAATTTTAGATAACCTCAACAAAGAATCAGTAATTTTGACTTTAGCTTAAGCTCAGATAGGGAACTCCACGCCTTAACCTCAACTTGGATACTCTTTATATATCGGCCTTAACTTTACTTAAGTTAAGTTTAGGCTTAAGCACATATCAATCACTTCATCATATTGCTTTATAAACACAATTTTCCAATAGTTATTTATGATGATTATCTTATTTTCTTACTAAAGATATATTTTATCTAAGATATCTTAGAAAGAATGATGAGATCGATCTAATCATCCCAATCATTTATAAGCCCTTCAACAAAAATCAATGGTTTCCTTACAGATCCAACAGATGCAACTGTATCAATATTCAAATATTTATATTCTCCTTAAAATTATAAGTAGAAAACACATTATAATAATAGCACATTCAAGTATTTTAAGTTATACGATTTAATTCGACACTTTCTTATACATTTTAGATGCTTGTTATGAAGAACAAAAGCTGTTGATTCATTTGAAATGCTGAAACTGGCTGAGCAATTGTTAAAATTGCATGCTGCGAATCATTCATGCAGCCTATTCAAGTACTAAGTGATGAGCACAAAGTATTTCAATTTAATTATGAATGAAACAAAGGGAATTATATATCTACATAAAGTGCAAATTGCTAAAAGCCCCGCAGCTCAATCGACAAAAGTCGAGCCAGTGTCGAACTGTGAATCCCTTACACTAGACACTTAACACCAGAACACACTAGAATACCCATTAAAAACCCATATATCTTTAGAATGTTATATTTAGTTGATTTGGGATCGCAGACAGTTTCGACTATTTGATTAGGGCACTTGTGATGCCTTCACGCCCCAAACTGGCGGCATTCATCAGTTTAGAGGCCGCATTGTGGTCTGCATGCTTCAAGAGCATACTTATTTGTCTGTCTGTCTGTCTGCCCGCCTGTCTGTCTGTCTGTCTGTCGTATTTGTTGTGAGAGCCATTAGGATTGTCTTATGATGCAGGATACATTACTGACATTACTGCATTACCACACGCTTGTACACCTCAACAAAGGCAGTCACATAATATTGTGTATACGCAGCGTAACACAGCGCACAGCAATCACTTAAAAACATCATCTGATACATATATCCAAATATGCTTATATACATATACATATATATATATACACACATAACTGACGATGCAGTGCCCCATCCCTGTGTTCATATATTGATTTCATGCCACTTAGCAGCAACTTGCTGGGCTCTCAACCAGGCGACTTCACATCGAAACATGGACTGGTTGCCTACCATCTACTTCTTGCAACTGGCTCTTCTTGCAACTCGCTCTTATTGCAACTCGCTCTTCTTACAACTCGCCACTTCCAACTCAACATTTTTAACATATTCCAAAACCACATTTTTGACTTTTGTATCGGATCTGATATCGGACGTGTATGTTATAGATCATATTGAGTTGATCGGTTATTTAGTTAAATACCAAAATTGTTGACAGTTCATTTCAAATGTTGTTGGTTTTCTTTTAAAATACTTGTTTACTTACCTTCATACTCTGATACCAAAAATGCAAGAGTATACTGGTTTTGACCAATGCCCGTCCTTCCGTCTGTCAGTCCGCAGGAACGCAACTATTGTCGACACTTTGAAAACTAGGACCTTGAAACCTGGAACATATATTTGCGTCAGACAAAGTGTTAAAATTTGTGTGCTACGCCAGTTAGGGGGCTACGAAATCGATAATAATCGATAGGTGAATATCGATAAAACTACATATCTCACACAAATTGAAAGCTATAGTCAGTAAATTTGAAATGTTGATTACTAGAAACCTGCTCTAAAGATTAGTCTTGGCTATGCCAAACCTGTTCTTATCCACCTGCTATCAGGCTTGTGTTACCTCGATAACAGAGTATTTCGCAATCGGATACGTCCGACTACAAAGTTCTCACTTGTTTTCTTTCTTACTTTATCGATTCGATGAATTTAACGTTGGAGAGCCATTTCTTTAAACAAAAACAAAAGCATAGCAAAAGCCAAAGATGAACTTGCCACCTTTGAGCGGCGGAGTTCTTTTAAAGTGGTAATAAACTGCAGAAGAGGCCAAGCCAACGAGTTAAGCTGCTCATTAGCAAGTGAACGTAACCTGTAGACAGTAACAAGTAACCAGTAACAAGTAACCCGCAACCAGTTCAACCAGTCAACTCCACTTCACTGCTTGGCCTGTTGCTGCCTGCTGTCCGTGTGTCTGGTGTCTTGTCTTCTGTCTGACAGAAGGACTCGAGAACAGGAGTCAATAATACACCCACCATTTGCAACCCACACACACACACACCCATATAGTTTCACAACTCATATTCAACTGGTTCTTAAGTAAAACGCCAACAACCAACAATATTATTTTGACTAAGGTTTGCATCTTCGGCAACTGAAGGTTTTGATTCAAGAGTGCATCAATTATTGACATCATAATTTATTCTATCTATTCCCGCTTTAATTGCCTTGCCAGCACTATTGCCACGTACAAAAGATGTTCCATGTTGCAAGGATAATCCAACAATCCACCCTTGCAGACAGAAGCCAATTTGTTCACGACTTAAGTTCGTTGTTTATGTAAAAGAAAAAAAAATATATATATATATATTTAGTAGTCTGTTCTGATCACTCTGTGTTTAGTTTGTTTATTTCGGATTTTCTCATCTTTCAAGTGATTTTTTTGAGTGCAGCTTTAATATACATATAGTGATGTATTCAATGTCTCCTTGAGATAGCTTTACGTCAGATATAGACTATATCAACTCAGATTGAACTAGAATATTTATAGTTTATGGTATATATGTTGCATATGTTATACACTTCATAACAGAGGGACAATTAAATTCTAAATATATTTATATATATGTATATATTTCAAGATATCGGCTGCGATCACTTTCTATATTCATACATTCCACGGTTATTTTTCCTGACAACTGGGATGAACTGAATAACTATTTATTTTGGTCTGCTCTTTTATTATAGTGTTATGGCTCTTGTTCAGTTGAGAGGTGAACTGCAGCTACGAGAAGAGGTAAAGAAAAGTGAGTGAGAGATAGAGAGAGAGAGAGAGAGAGAGGGAGAGGAAGAGAAGCAGAGTTACACTTGGCTTTTGATGATTTTCGACTGCAACACTTTTAGAATCCGAAATGACCCCAAAGAGCGACAGGCACAGAAAATGAGGATGCAGTCCTCAGCGGACACAAAGTGCGACTCGCGAAGCTGTAGAAACCTGGCAATTAGCATTAACAGAACAACTTGACTGCAGTTTGCAAACAAACAAAAACCTGGCGATTACTGCTGCTGCCGTGCTGGTGGAATGGGAATGGGATTGGGATTGGGATTGGGGCGGTGGCTATGTCAGAAGCGGGGAACAGTTGGGCTACAGTTGACTAGCGTCGAGGCGAATGACTTGTATATTGGGGCACTTGGAGTGCACACGGACACACGGACCAACTGGCGGCAGATGACCAGCCTAAGAGCAGACAACTGCGGCGCAATTTGCGGCACTGTGACAACACAGTACGAAATTACACGGTACTCTGGCACTCGCTCCAGCTACCTGCTACCAACTCCAACTCCAACTGCCGGCTACAGTTGCAGCGCCAGATTCAGATACAGATTCAGCTGCAGTTGCAGATCTGGGCGATGCTATGGTGGGCAGTTGGTTGGACAGCAGCGTGCAACGCCGCGTAAGTCAAACAACGCAACGAAATGAATTATAAAATAACATGCCAACAAAACCAACAACGAGTGGGCTTCCTCCCGTCGGGCCAAGGGCCAGATCCTGGCCAAGCGGTGCGGGTGCCAGGAAGGTGGCAGCAAGAGTGAGAGGGGGTGGCATGACTATAGCTATGACTGTGCCTGGTTTGCTGAAAGTTGTAGGTATATGTCTACCTTGCGCTACATGAAATTTTTATTTTATTTAAATGTAATTATCTGCTTGAATAAAAAAATGCTCATCATGATGAGCAGCAACAGCAACAGCAGCAGCAGCAACAGCAGCGACGTTAGCAAGCAAACCAAAAAAAAATATATATATAAATAAAAATAAAATGAAATACACAAAAAAAAAAAAAAAAAAAACAAAAAAAAGAATGCTACAAATAAAATAAAAAGTCCGGCAAAAACAAAAACGAGCCCATGTGCATAAAGTAAAACAACGTGCACACACACACACACACACACACAAGAGCAAACACACTCACTCATGTCTGTGTATACAAGTACGCACACACACCTACAAAAAAAATCCATTAAAATTGTGCAGGAAATATACCAAAAAACAAAAAAAAAGGAAAAAAATCAAAAAACGAAAATCGCCACCACAAAAAATAAAGGAAAAACCAAAAAAAAAAAAACAACAAAAAATAAATAAAATAAAAAAAAACACGGCGAAAGAGAAAAAGAAGGAAGGTAACGCACCAACACGTCCAGGCCTACTCCACCCCTAGCGATAACAGCAGCAGCAGCAGCATCAGCATCAGCAGCAACAACAATAACAACAGCAACAACAAACACAACAACAACAACATCAGCACATGCAAAACTGCAGATGCAAAGGACAACGAATAGGCAAGAGTAGGAGTAGGAGTAGGAGCGCCAGCAGCAGCAGCAGCAGCAGCAGTAGAAGCAGGACCAGTATCAGGACCAGGCAAAGAGCGGGCGTGGCCTTTTTTTGCTCATTTGCAACGCACTTTGGACACTATTTCTGCCGCTAGCTGCGCATTCTCCGTCGCAGTTGCCGTTCTTGTTGCTGCTGTTGCTGTTGTTGCTGTTGTTGTTGCCGTCGTGGCGGCTGCAGTTTTCGGCTTTCGATTTCGGGCCTATGACGCCTATCGGCCCTGGCCGTCGCATGATTATGCACATGCCACACCAATGATGTGCTGCCTTTTCCATTTATTTTTCGACAGCCACCCCCCTCCCCTACGACCACCGCCTACCGCCCACCGCCCACCGTCCACTTTTCCACCCATTCTGCATACAAACGCATGCCGACATTTTCAGTATGTACTCGCATATACTTACTTGTCGTATGTACTATTGTCATTTCCAGTTTTCTGTGTTTTTTTTTTTTTTGTTGATTCCCTTTTTTTTTGATACTTTTTACTTTTTGCTTTTGGGCACCAAGCAAAAAAGACGAACAAAAATTTGTCAAAATAATATAGCGCAGAGCCCGCATTAATCGCGCCTGCCACACCACACGACACAACCGAACACTGAACACCGAACACCACCCATCGTCGTCCATCGTCCATCGTCCAGCATCCAGCATCCTGCAACCAGCGCCCACCTCCCGCATGGGCCTATTAAAGCGTAAGCACGCCTGTAGGGATGGGAGTTCATGGAACGGGCAAAAAAATGATTCAAAATGCTGCTGCGAATCCAGACTTGAACGCCAAAGTCTTTCAGATTAATTGGCACTTGCATTTCCCCACTAAATTACCATTAACTGTGGCATTTAACTACGCATTTCGATGCGCTTTAGATTTCAAGAATTCAAGTGTAGAAATCGTAGCACAAATTGAAATTCCTCAGAAAGATATTCATACACAAAGCTATCAAATTATTAAGCACAGCACACAGCATCTAGATACAAGTGCTGTTTGCCAAGAGATAACACTTATTTATATATATCAGAATATGCCTCGATATATTCCTACCGATTCATATGGAAAACAGATATTGAGAAGCTTGGCGAATATGCACAACTAATGGAATCAGAGATGCTTCCTTCTGCTTCTGATGTACATATAAAGAAGATTAACCTTGTAGACTGGAGTCAACCTGCCAACATATAAATTTCACTACTGCATAGTCTAAATATGTGTGTCCTGGAACAAAAAATATGTGCGTTCTGGGACTGATCATTTATGCACCGTAATCACCCTCTTCTTCGTCATCTTCTTCCACCTCTTCCACTGCGTCTTCTACGACCTCTTCCACGGCGTCTTTCGCTGCTTCTTCATATCCCCCTACCACTCACTGCCTGCTCCACTGTCTCCTCCTGGAACTGCTCCTGTGGACCACTTGGCATGGGCAGCTAAAGAAAACTGCGCATCTTTTGAATATTGCGCCGAATGAAAGTCTCAAGATGCCCCATTGAAAAATTGCAAGGATCAAGCCACAAATATACTAGATGATAGATAATTATAAATAAGAACAATAAAGGAACCCAATAAAATACCTAAGCTTTCCATACCACTAAAAAATGCATATATATTATATATGTATATAAAGCAGCCACATATTAATAATTAATAATTAATTATTAATTTAGCTACAAATACAAATAAGAATTACACATTGCTAATGCAATAAAAAATGTAATTTATAACCAAAAGGGATTAAGTTCAGAAGCGATAACTAGGATATAGAGTCTGATTAAGTTCAGAGCCGATAACTAGCATATAGAGTCTGAGTCCAAGTCCGAGCGATATTTGAGTCAAGTTCGAATTGATTACTTGGCTTGTTGGCTGAGAACAGTGCAAGTAATTAGATGTGTTTGTCGCTTCTTAGCCACAACTGGAGGCAGTTGGCATGCTTAAGACGTGTGCGTGTTATGTTGAATGCCCCCCGCCCCTGCTACAACTGCCCCCAACGCAGTGCCGGAGACATGCCACAAGGCCAA